ATCAATTATATCTATTATTTTAAATACAGAACGAACTAATTAATGAATTGTGCAATTTAAAACGACGTTTTACTGTCAAAAGTCTAACACCAACTGCCAGCATAGTTTAATACCCGACAAGCACGTAATTTTAACAAATTGAAATTAACGAATTAATGGCGTCCAAGAACAAAAAAAAGGATTTATAAATTAGCGTTCACTTCTTTCCATAATCAGGCGTTCCTAAGATATGAACGGAAAGCGAGCAGGAATAATATATTACAGCTTACCTCCATTTACACGCTTAAGTATAAATAAGTCTGCAATTTACGTTTACCATTAACGAAATTAGCGAGGTAATTGCGCCTCCTTCGGCCAGACTTTCCATAATGCACTTATAGAAGGCACGAATCGGAAATGCATATTGCCAAACTAAATGTCGGAGAGAAACGAAAAAGATTTTTATAGACTTCTTTCAAATTCCATAAATCTAATTCTGAATGTTTTACAAACATGAAATCGACTCCGCGTGAAAGCCATTCTCGAAGATCGTGCGATCCTTAAAAAGTGTGTTCGACGTCGACCTATACAATTTCCACCGTATTTCACTTACTACTTTATTAACTTGACATCCATACATAATAAATCCCCGTGTCCCCTCAGAGCGCGAATCTGGCGTTAAATGAATTTACCCGGCAATAAATTCGCACCCCTAATTATGGTAACGTCACGCTAATAGCTCGATATCAATATGTGAACGTTCCACAAATAATATTGCGTCCGGAATTCGAATAATTCAATTAGGAATATTAGAAATCAATATCGAATCTGAAATTCAAATCGTTTTATAAATAGATCACGAACCGGATATGTTAAAAAAATGTATTCATTCATCTCGACCAAAGTAATAAGGAAATTTGAATCTTCCTTTTCTACATTTACATACTTTCGGAGATTATCCTTTATGAGAAGATTTAATAGAATAAAAGGAAAATTGAGAGGATTTACCTACGTCTGCTACATATTTCCTCGGAGAAATATGCAGATTCGCACCGTTTAACTTTTAAGGTCGTTAATCCATAAACGAAGGTAGTAAAAGCGGAAAAAAAATTCTGCAAATAATGTTTCATGATTAACAATAGATTAATCGTAAAATTAGTCACAGCGAGTATAAATCGGATACGGTCTTTGAGATTAGCTCGTTCGGACCACCTCCATCAATTTATTAATACAATGGGAATCATCCACGTTGTCAATTTGAGACTGAAGGAACTTTCCCTGCTGATTGATTCGGTAATTACGAAACATGTTTGAATGACAGCGACAAAATCGCGAAAAACTGACTGAATGTCTTACTGATTGTGCTTGTGCAAACATATTTATTACAGGCTATTGACAATTGGTAATAAATCGTAGTTGAGTATTGATCATAAATATTTTATCTTTTATTTTATTGTCTTTATTTGATCAATCGGCATTTATGGCAATGTGTTTCGTACTTTCGAGGAAGATTGTTTTTTTGTTGAGCTATGGATGGATACCAAATAGACCTGAGCACTTTTGAGATTAAATGAATTTACAGATTAAGTCACAGGCCTGACATCATCGCTCATGTCAGATTTCTAAAATTAAAAAAAATAAATTCGCGATCAAATCGAACCAATTTTCAAAAAATCTTAAAATGTGCACCATTACAAAATTCTTTGGGTCCAAGGGTGTTCAAGAATCGTAACCTCAATTTTAAAAATGTACTAGCAACATCCCCCTAAAGGTCCGTATTTCTTCTTTAATTTTTTCTTAGCAACCAGAGCACTTAGGAGGATATAATTAACGCATTTTTTTAGGTTTTTAGATTTCCCCATCTTGATTTTACAAAAAATTTGCAAAATTCTCGCCTCAGGATAGAAGCACACCTGCATAAATCGAAGTGCGATATAAATTTAAATCTCGATGAAACTTGCTGTCTGGGTATCGTTGAACATGAAGTTAAAGAAACCGAGTTTTAACACCGATCCAAATTAAGAACATATTTCGCTGGTTCACCCTGTATTTATGAGCTATATCGTGCTACAGGTTTTTTCCAAAACCTTTGTTGGAAATGATTCACATATTCGCTAATAGGAAAGAGAACAAATTAACGATCGGTCAGTAAACAATATAATAAAGTTTTCATTAACGTAAAACTAACGCGTTTAGCGTAGGCATCCTTAGAGAAACCGACGCGACGGTATCACAAATTCTGGAGTACAGATCGTATCGTATCGTATCGTATGGGTGGCACTCCCTAGGTACAGACAGAAAGAATTGCGATAGTTGGTAGAAAACAGTTCCTTTTGTAATTAGAATACCATGAAAGATAAAAATCCCCCTCTCCCAGTCTTGCATAACAAATAACAAAGTAAACTATTCTCTGTAATTCTGCATTGCAGAAATATTCTCGAGTAACGAAGAAGTACTCTACTCTAGTGAATGTGTCCAAGTACTCTCAATGTACTCGGAGTACTTTGAATGTACTCGAGTATAAGTAAAAGTACAGTATAATCTCGAGTACAATAATTCAAATACAGTGTTGAATACGAGTACATTATAAAAAAAGTACCGAGTACCATAAAAGTACATGAGTATGGACAGAAAAATACATAATGTAATAACAACACCAACTATTACATACGCCCGTGAAAACTGGACACTAAGGAAAAAAGATGAAAGTATAAAGTAAATGCTATGGGAATGAAACATCTCACAAGAATTGCTGGAAGAACCAAATGGGATAGGGTAGGAAATGGCACGATCAGAGAAATAGCAGAACAAGAACCAATAACCGAAAAAATAAAAAAGAAACAACTGAACTGGATCGCGCATATAGTAAAGATGGAACCATGTAGACTTACAAGAAGAATAATGGAGACCAAAACCAAAAAAGAATTGAATACATGCAGTAAGGTAAGGCACAGCATTGAATCAAGGCTACCTATTGCAACAAATTCGAGGACTATAGGACAATTCCCCTAAGAATAGTTCAAAACCGCAGAAGTGGGTCCGGACGAACGGGCAAAACGCAAGCAATGGCACAATTATTTAATTGTTACAAAAATGCGCTAAAAAAATGAATAGGTAACCTTTCCTACGTGATTCCTAAGTGAAACCAATATGAAATTCTTCAAGAATTGATGGTAGAATTTCTCGCAGATTCCTAACACCCCCCAAAGCTATTAGGAGATTCTGTAAAAGTGATTTAAAAATTTTTCAGTCGGTATTATACAGGGTCCTGCAACAGTGCATCGGTCTTTCCTAGCTCATACCTAGTAAAAAATATCAAAAAACCAAATGTCAGCCATGGATGGTTGCGCATCTACAGAAATTATTTTTGAATGTGCAGTGTCCCATTTGTACGGTGTCAATAGACAACTGATTTTTTTAATGGAACACCCTGTATATTTTTAGTTGTTTCGATTGTCATTTTTTAAACTCTACATGGACACCTATTCACTTTTTGTTTTTTTTTGTCAATGTTACCAGGTAGTTGGTAGACCCGTTTGAAAAAAAATAGTTATGGCACTTTGAAATGTGGAAATTTTACTTTTTTTTAACACCCTACATCACTAAATTCATCTCAATCACTACCAAAAAGGTTGCCTTTTATTCAGATTCACATTATTAATCAAATGTATTTCTTAGGTTTAAAATCAAGGTCGCATAGAGAATTATTCGGAAAAAAATTCATAATTTGGCAAAATTGATACAAAACCAAATAGTGAATAGGTTTCCATGCGGAGGTTAAAAAATGACCTCGAATCAGCTAAAAATATAGTGTTCCATTTAAAACAATCCGCTGTGTATTGACACCGTAAAAATGGGACACCCTGTGCATTCAAAAATAATTTCTGTAGATGCGCAACCATCTATAGTTGACATTTGCACAAAAGGTTTTCGATATTTTTTACCAGGTATGAACTAGGAAAGACCGACGCACTGTTGGAGGACTGTATAATTTATCTTTCTCCCTTTAACGGGTACTGGGAAACTTCTTCGTAAACGTTAAACACGCATCCGCTTAACTCGACTTTTAACGTTCACTTAAATAACGACGTATTTAGATACATTTCTTCTTGCACTACAACCAACTTCTTCGTAAACTTCACCATTGAACAAGACCGACAGTTTCGATTACCACAACTTGCTACGCTCAGATACAGCTACGTTTCAAGGTCCAAAAAACTCGGTTCACGTCATCCGCCAAAAAAGAGCCACGAGTAACGTCCATTCGCTTATTTAAAAACTTCGGCGATAATACGTGCTTCTCTAGAAACTAGTTGGCTTACGCAGCGATAAAAAAATCTTATCTACGACAGGAGAAAAACATGAGATAAACTTTTACGAATACTACGTACATAATTCCTAACTGAATACATCTAGTCTTTTTACACGTCATTTAAATTCACAATCGCCAAAACAATTATTCAAAATCAAATAAATCGGAGACAAAATTAACATTGTCCTCTAATACAACAAATATGACCGAATCTTGTGTCCAATCTCAAATTACAGCCAACTTTTGACGTTAACAATAATGAAATGCATGCTGAAAACATATAAAAGAATAGTGGGTCGAGCAGATACAGGAGCCCCTTCCTCGGCCTGCAGATGATTTTTCATTCTATGGGGGGTACCTCGATCCCAGTTGTAGGGTTATTATTAGGTACTAATGGAAACAATCGATTGTTATTCTTAATTAGACCTGAAAGTTTGTAGGGTGTGTACTTCTGGTCAAATAAAGATAAATTGGTTCAGGAATTTTACTTGGTCTCCCAAATAGAATTACTGAACCAATTTATCTTTCTGTGGCCTACACAACCTACAAACTTTCAGGTATAAACTTACGAAGGGCGAAAAAACAACTCGTCAAATCCGAGGTCAAACCGTTATCCCCAATTTGACAATTTATAGTATAAAACATTACCCGGCTCTGAATTACAAGCACCTCCTGGAAAATGTATATTACTTACAATGGTTTACTAAGAAATATCTATCTATAGATAAATAACACGCATACGGTTTTATTCCTTGAAACGAGATCAGTTTTTTTGCTACAAAACTATATAAACTCCAACGTCCCATCCAAATGGTCAAGTGATGGCGATGGAACACTACAAAATTGTTTTGGTTGGCACTCTGATGATGGCATCAGTATTCGTAACAGGTAGCACTTTTTGCAAATTAATTTAAATTAAAATATGTCTTTCAGATGCCGTAAAGTGCTACACATGCAAGGGTACGCCAGATAGCGATTGCGCCAAGGGTGTTCCCGAAAAGATGGAAGTTGAGCAATGCGACGGTCTTTCGGTATGCCATTACACCGACATGCGAGAAGATCGTAAGTTTTCAAAGATCTAATATTGTCCCTAGTTGAGTTTTGCCGTGATTATAGACGAAAGAAGCGTTTCAAGGGGATGCACTAAGACTGATTTCAACGATCTCTGCAATACGTTACGGCAAGTATACGCCGTGTTTCAAACGGCTCACGAGATTTTTGAGTGCACAACGTGTAAGGACGAGAAGTGTAATGTACAAGTTACTCCATAATCTGAAAGTGAATTTAATTAAATAAACGATTTGAGTCCTCTGTTTTATTCGAAAGAAAAAATAATGGTTTTGTCCGTCCATCGCCTAACTCGAGAACGAAAAGAGACTGCGATGGGAAACCTTCGCTAAGGATCACTGCTATTGGATATGAGCCGGATTAAAGGTCGCGTGCATTTGTTTGAAAACGTATAGCTAATCGAAGTAGATCGGAAAAAAATTATAAACGATAACATGTAAAGGGCTAAAGTTCCCAAAAAAATGTTGTAAACGTTCAAAGGTATAGCGGAGGTCAACATGGAAATACACCCACTCATTTAAATGCTTATTATTTATAAACAGTCGCCGCGGAATTTTCACGATCGTGATTTTCAAAAGAAAACATAAGACTCTACTTTTTGCCTGTTTCTTACATTCCATCGACCGCGATGTTGACTGTTGAGTAGTTCATACCCCTATCTTTATTTTAAACCGTACCTACCGACCTCGGTTGTCGTATTTCTCATAACCGAATGGGAAATCAATAACTCGCTCATGAAAAATCACACCGAACTATGTGTGAATGTGAACAATCTCAGAAGAATTTCACAAGAATATTTCGCCGGGACTCTCTCAAGAACCAGCAAGCTCTAAACACTCTCCAAAGAACAGTTATAGAATCTTCTCCAAAAGTATAAACATGTTATATTTTTGCAGAAGTAGTTTTCTAAGTAATGTTACTTCAAATATGAAAGAAAAAATCCTCTCAGTACGATTCCTGCAAATGCAAAAGATTTCTTCGGCTTGGCTCCTTTCAAAAACGCGTGTAATTTAGTAGATGCTGTCATATCTGTACCATTTCTTAATCGCTGCATTGTTTTGTTTTTGAATGAAAGCAGCAAAGAATAGAAGATTTAAATACGTTTGACCTTTATCCTTCATAATATATCAGCATTATGGATAATTTAATACTTTGTTCGTAAGATGCCCACGAAGACAACACTACATTTTTTTCTTTATAAAGACTACTGGATTTTACACCTGTCAACTTTTCTTCTGCTTCTGGAACAAGTCATTAAATGGGCGGTGCATTTTGACCTGTGTTTGAGTCCGAGACGGCAAAAGCGCGCTTTCTTGTCCTTCCCATACTTCCATTCTTCATCTATACTGATTGCAGAAAACTTCTTACGGCCCCAGACACCGGCCGCGCAGCGGACTCCCATAATCCTAATCTTCATTTAACATTTGTGTCCTCTAATGAGGAAGATGTGTGAATTTCCGCTTTATGCGAAGAAACAGAAAAAGGCCGCTTCGTTGCGTTCCATTTCGAAATAGGCTCTATGGCCAACGAAGCCCTGGCGATCCAATGTATTTAGTGCTGAAGAAGGTTCGGCTCCTACATATGTCTCCAAGCTTTTCGTCGTCTGTTAGGTCTTGAACTTGTAGACTCCATGGGATGACGTCGGCAGAGGCTTCAGAATTTGAGTATTCGGACACTGAAAACTGGTGGCTGCGACGTTCTTCCACTTCTTCGAGGATTATTGCTTGTTATAGTTGAAGTAGTTCGATGCGCTAGCGTTCGCGACGCGTAACTCTCGTAGTACTTGTGCTTCTATAGTAGTGGCCGCTAGGGGATTCCAGGGGGAGTAAGAGGGCGCCATTGATCATGTTCATACTTAAATTGAACCATTTCGAATAAGCATAGCATGTGCACGTCTATACAGGGTGGTTAGAAAGTAAAGGAACAAGGCTGAAACGATTTGAGGTATTGATTTCAAGTTTGGAGGACTTTAATGGGACATTGTTATGCATGTTTCGGAATGAAAAAGACTTCATTGCCCAATTTTGAGGGCGGCCGCCATCTTGAATTTTTTTTAAATAACATGGGTCATGCGACACATCATTGGAAACCGTCTTGTTTTCTCTTTCGAGTGTTGTATACATTTAACCATTTTTTTTTGAAATTGAAAGAAATTAAATTCTTATAACCTGATATAAGTAAGGGAACTCGTAAGGGAATAAGGCTTTCTGAAATGGTTCCATATATTGATTTGCAGGTTGGAGGACTTTAAATCAATCAATCAATCTTTATTTGTCCGTATACCATAAATAGATTTTGACACGTCAGTAAATCTAGTAAATAATAAATGAGTACAATGCATATATAAAAAGAATAATAAAAACAGTTTAAAAATTTCAAATAAATAAAAGCTAGACAAACCATGTGGCTAAAAGAGAATAATATAGAGTATAAACAATTTAAAATGTTTGTTAAAAAGAGACAAAACAGAGATACATAAAATATAAACAAGTAAAGGTAAAAATGACTAAAGAGAATACTACTAAACAGGTACACAAAAGTAAAGTAAACAAACAATAAAATAAATAAATATCATTAAAATAACAGAATAAACAGATATTGTTACGCATATTTTAGAATGAAAAAGAATGATCCATATTGTCATTTCAAAAAATTCAAGATGGCGACCGCCTTCAAAATTCTGGCAATGAAGAAATTTCTTTTCTCCCATACATGCATAACACGGAGAGATATTACTTAGTTTTGAAATAATGAAGTATACTTATTACCAAACGACTAGGAGGCGGTAGCTATTTTTTTGCTCCTAAGGGGGCGATGCTTCACAAAAGCTTGGGACAGCATCCAGTTCAGACCTGGCTCGCGAATGAGCTTTCTAGTAGACGGGACCTTACACGATTTTCGGCTCTGCGACGTTAAGAGTTTGACAACTTTCCTGTCATCGACATCGTAACGGCTTCGAAGGACCAATGAAATATTTCACATGCACACAATCGTTTTTATTTTACAATTTTATTTTTTCTTAAACATCAAACTGAAAACCCATTATTCCTTACGGCGCCGGCGCCAACTTGTTGAATAATTTGTTAGGTTGAGTTGTTAGAATTTCGAATTTTTCAACAATGAATTACAATTAATGTAGGTACTAGGGAAGTTGGGATCCCATCTAAAATCGCGAATATTTCAAAAACCATAAGACAAAAGGTCGAAAATGCACAATTAGAACACAGAATCGGGGTAGGAAAACACATCCAAATATAACATCCCCGACGGATATTTTATATTGAAAACGCGATTTGTTACAAAAAATAGGATTTTTACCTACTTCTTGCGTTTTTGTATTTGCAGATAACTTCAAAAGTGAATGTTTTCAATTGCAAAAGCAGCTGCAATTTTATTCTATCGATTCCACCCCATTTTCATGCATGGTCTAGTGATCTAGTTGAAATGTTTACATTAAAATACGAAACAGGTAAATATAGCTATTTAAACTAACTCCTTTTTGTTGTTTCAGGTAAGTGGGAAACCGTAAATGTGTGTTCAACAGAAGAAGTGAATAATGCGTTGGTAAATAACCCTTATGCATGCATGCAAATTTACAAAAAAAGGTGTTTGTAGTAAAAGCAGCGGCCAGTTTGTTGTTGTAACTAAAAAAACTAATTTATGAGTGGAAATAATAATGCAAACAATTGAGGGTTAGTTATTCGCAAGCGCCATCTTTTTTGATCGTTTTGCGAAACACTCTCAATTAATTGCACCGGTTTAAATAACGTAACCATAACAAAACCTAATTAATTACAATAATTACGCATAAACCATACGTCACATTATCTAGGTATACTACACTAAGCTTCATTACGCATACAAACATAATCAATCACAGACTGAAATTATCCGTCTGTGCGATTTACGCGCGCACTCAATTTCAAAATTAATCCCGTAAACAGACCTTTGCGTAACTCTTTAAAAGGGCGACAATTAAGAAAATTCATACCTGCACTTAAAACTAATATGCATATGCAAATTGCCCTTAAACTGTAGCAGAATACGTAATGGCTTAAAATTAGCAACGTTTACACTATCTAGATTCGTTCACGCTAAATTATCGCCGGAAATTTGAACTTGCCACTATTCCGGACAGTTTTCCGCCGCGATTTTTCCCACGTCGGCGTCGCGCGCTGAGATCTTTGGTACAGTAGCATAGGCCGGGACTAGTGCAATATTTGAGTAGAAAAAAAACAATATTGTCACGCATCACGGACTACGCTAAATGTACAAATCGCGCGCCTCTTCTTCCTCTCGGCCCCCTGCTAATTGGCCATGAAGGTATGAACACCTGAGAATTTCTACACTATTAATATTGGCGGCTATTTATTGTTTCCGTATATCTGAGAAAATTGCGCGCCTCGTTTTAATTAAATAACAGTTAGTTCTTTATAATACCGTTGAGGCGGGGGGATTGGATTACGTGCAATCAGCTACGGAAGATGGATAAACAATTTCGGTGTATTGGGTAATGATGGGTGACGATTTGGTGGGGTCCGTATTAATTTGCTAGCGTGGGAATCCAATTCTATCAAACGTTAGTCATATTTTACTATTTTAATCCTCTCGACGCAAAAACAAGCACTCTAAATTTTGAGGTTAAAATTTCGTATTTGAAATCTTATTTCGACTTGAAGCTTAAAATCCAACCTGCTGAGATTAAAAAGTAATGAAAATTAACGTAAAGAAAAAATTGAAACTCAAAATGTTTTTATTGTGGTTTCTATAGGCGATCACCACAATAAAAACATTTTTCATTAATTACTCAAGCATATTATGGAGATCTTCATCAACAAAGTAATGAAAATTGAATTTAAGTGTCAAATTTTTTCTTATTAATTGTCATTACTGGCGCCTGACTTATTAAAACCTAATTTCAAATTTAGAGTTAGTTTCAACTTGAAGCTAGAGGTCCAAACTGACTGGGTGTCTCACACATGATGTTTATTACTTTAACTTTAAGCTTAAAGTCCATTGCAGATTGAAAGTCAATATTCGCATTTTCAAAAATGAAGCTTCAAATTTTTAGTTTCCAGCATAAAGTTGGATGCTGAAACCTGAAACTTCTAAACCGTCGCAGGATTAAAGTGTCAATTTTGATGTTTGGAACCTGACATTTTAAAAAATGAAAGCTGAAAAGTTGGCTTCACGCATGAAGTTTGATGCTTGGATTTGAAGTGAAAATGGATCAAGTT